CGCAACCCGCGTTTCTTTGAACACTCCATCGCGGTGAGCGGACAGTCCGTCGACCGCTAAGGACAGCAATTTTCGCCCGAGGTGGTTTGTTAAAAAATATAGAAAATGATACTTTCTCTAGGTCTGTACGTGCTGTTTATGTATTATGAATGTAAACGAAAGGTACTAAAATGGATGCAAATAAATTGTTTGCGTTGTTATTATTGTTGGAAGAGGAAGAACAAGAGGAACTGGCAATTGCAACCGTCAAAGTTTCCAATAAGCCAGTGGATGAGTTGTTTTTGTGTCGCGATATAGAAGGTGCCTTTAATATCATTGTGCAGCTGAGGTTTTTTGGAAATGAAACCAAATTTAGGGAGTATTTTAGACTTTCTACAGATCTTTTTGAATTCGTGTTGAGTTTTATAAAGGACATAATTTCCAAGAAATCTAAAAATAAAGTCATGATGTCATTTGTATATGTGAATTTGTCACCCATTGTTTTAAAATTAATAACAATATAGTCTCCGCACACGCCGACGATTCCGCTGATATCAAACTCAACAGATATCAACCGACTCTTCGCGACAAATCAGCGGCATGACGCCGTCCTGCTCAGCTAAGCGGATTCAAGAAAACCATTCCCATTTAAATACTCTGGTTGGATAAAATCGTCAAAACGCGACGGTTGACGGACTGTCCGCTCACCGCGACGAAGTGTTCAAAGAAACCAAGGCTTTAGAAGTTTCACCTTTACTATCAACAGCTGTTGTTAGAGAATGTTTGCAATTTATGGAATGTAAAGAATGTTAGGAATTTTGACCTTAGAAATAATTGAAATGCCTAAAATTGTCACATAAGGAATGTATAGTCGGATTTTAAGAAATGTGTTATTAAAATAGTTAGGATGAACCGAAAATTCTGAAAATCAATAGAGTTCTAAGTTAGAAGTAATTATTCAAGAAAATCAAAACCGCAAGTCAATCAGAACTTTGGTTCTAGAGTTATCGTGCCGGCATACATACATACATATAGAAGACCAGACGAAATTTTTTTTTTTGGATTTTCGGACTCAGAATGATCAGAAACATGAAAAAACGTTTTAAAAAATGGGGGTCAGAAAATTTTTTCGTCTGCACGAATGCAATACTGAGGCCCCATAGGAAGAGCCTCAGTAATTATTATGTCACGATTTATAAATTGTTATATTTTTATATTTCGATCAAGAAACGAACAGTCAACAGGATTATGATCAATCGGATGAAGAGGATGACGATGAAAACTATAGCTTCGATAATAAGGATTTCGGTATTATTATCGATGAAACCAATGATTCCAACAGTTCTTGCGATTTCGAATAATTTGGCTATTGTAAAAGAATAAAAGTATTATAAGTGTACAGGGTAAATCTGAAATTTGATAAAAAAAATTGATAAGAAGATCTATAAAAATCCAATAAAATACGTATATTTTGAGTTTTTAAATTTACTTATTTTAACTAGAGCAATTCAGTGTTGCCACACCAATTAATTTTTCCGTAATAGAATTTTAAACCAAAAGGTAATAAAATCGTAATAGATAATATTTTAAAGTAACATAAATGTACACACTGAAATATATATTAAACTGGAAGAACAAAGCCGATCAACAAAATCAAGCCGCATAGCGAGGTGATATTTAACACGTTGCCGCCTACATGTGCGTATCGAAACGCAGTAGAAAGGATCATCAAAATTAAATTTAACACTTATTACATTCAACTACAACACCTTTTAATTTAAGAAAATCACTTAAAACAGAATTTTGATTAATACGCAGCTGAAACAAATGTTCCAATAATAATAATAATTATTAAAATAGTACGTTATTAATAAAAAATAATATAATTTATCATAGTACGCCCGTGAAAACGTGACATAGAATTCTCGAAATTGACAGTCTGGCATCCAAATTGTCATGCCGTTTTTTTCACCCTTGTCGGCTTAGAAATTAGGAGTAGGGTTTATGTCATATAGCTATCATCCAGTTTAATATCAAGGTCGGTGAAATGTACCAGAACTATTATTAAATACATTTAACAATAAAACTTTAATATTATTTAGTTGAGAGAAAATTATTTCTGCTGCTGCAAAAGAATGGGGTAATGATAATAAACCACAAATAATTTTTTTGAAATTTTAAATATTTGGTTCATCCAGTGAATATTTTTATTTTAGCCCAAAATTCACCTAAGGGCAAATTTTTGTAATTTAATATTTCTTCAAAGTCTTGAAGGGTCTAACAATATATAAATTATATATAAAATGCTGCAGGCTGGTGGTAATCCCCTACTAAACTAAAAACTGACCCATAACAAAAAAAAATAATACAATATAATAAAGTGACGCCTATCCTGTATTTGTTGAAACAAGAAAACAGAAATAACAAATGTATAGATTTTTAAATTTTTTATGGGCTCTGAAGTTTAGATGGAACCACTCATAAAATTTCGATATTTTAAAAAGTAATAGATTTTTCCTCTTTTCTTAAAAGTCGTAATAACGTACTGGTGTAACTTTTTATTAATAGATTTGTTACAATTGTAATAGCAACGGCAACACTGGAGCAATTATAAATACTCCATTAGAAAATATTGAAAATAATTAGTGTATTGCATACTTTTAAATCTACAAAAGAATTTTATCGTATTTCATCTATTTACTAAAATTTTGATTTTCACGGTAAAATGTGCAGTTATAGTAATTGAATGAATAATTTATAACATAAATATTAACTTCGTAATAGTTCTTTTAAAATTTTATACCAATGATCATCTTTCGAACACGTAAAGATACTACGTTCTAGCTGTTAGCACGCCGCATGTCGAAAACACCTTTATCAGCTTGGAAGACGACTTTCGTTGTGTTTTATTGGTGGAAGACTATTATTTTTATTTTTCTTACTATAAAAATAGGCATCACACTTAGTTTCACCTTTGCGACTATACTTTTTTTATTATTTTTTTACGCCTATTTATGTGGGTGGAAGACGTAGTTTGTTGTACAATTCAGGCGGAAGACGATATTTTCCAATATTTTTATGTTCATAACAACGTGTACACAAAGTTTCATCCATGCGAAAATGTTTTTTTTATATATATTTTTTTACTGGAATTGCAACCCTCCCGCAACCCTCTGTCGTACAACTGGAATGGAAGACGATGATTTTACTGTTAGATGCTATTTAAATAACTCATATTTAAAAAATAAAGCTTGCGAAAATGGTTTATTGAAATCTGTCTTTATCTCCCGGACTATAATACTTTGCTCTAATATGAATTGAATGAATTTATTTTGTGGCAATATAAAGAGAAAAGAAAATAAATAAGTCTCGTATTTACTACACAGTAGAACAAATCGAGCGTTACATTTCCGTCGCTTAGAAATAAGACAGTTGTTCAACGCTTTTTTTATCCGCTCTGGATAGCTATTCACTAAGTCATGGGAGCGCTCCCATGGGAGTGCTCCCATATATTTTGCTCTCTTACTCTTAGATGGGTTTATCGTGCTTACTCACTTTTAGCCCAGGTACATGCGTAGTAAGGTCAGATTTTATACCATGCGAGGGAGAATTGCGGGCTTGCCAGATTTAGGTCCGTATTTATCACAAAGGAAATTTGAACTATTTAGGACCGATTCCACCGTTGTGTTAAACGAAGTTTAAAATGACATTTTTACATAACAATGTCACTTTAATCTCCGTTTAACACAACGGTGGAATCGGCTCTTAAATAGTAGATCAAAGTTATTCTGTCGACTTGGCAACGTTGGCATGGGAGTATGGGAGTGCTCCCATGAGTTAGAGAATAGGTATCCTGGGGGTCGATTCTCGACTCGTAGGAATATTTTCCTATAGGAATTTTTGACATTTTTATATACATCGAAAATTTATGACATTTTCCTACATATAGGAAAGTGTCACAAATTCCTATAGGAAAAGGTTCCTACAAGTCGAGAATAGACCCCCTGACGTTTTTTCTATTTCAGAATATTTGGTGGCAAAAACCAGTGGCGTAGCTGGTTGAGATATAAAGAGCTGTAATTTGGTTTATAGTAGTGGATATTTTGCGGGATTTTGTGAGGGAGTAACATAATTTATATTTTATTATATTATTTTGAATTTGTAGAAGGTGAATATTATTCATTAGTAATAGTATTTGTTGTATTCTATTATATATATTCCCATCTGAACAATTTATTTGTTCTTCAAATATTATTAAATGGGCAGGCGTACAGAGCCAAATATAATTACGTGGTTAGACTTAAGGTTAGACTTAAGGGTCCATATATTTTAATATTTTTTATTCTTAAGGCGTAAAGGGTCAAAATATTTTTACATGGATAGGCTTAAGGGGTAAATCTCAAGTCCAAAGTATGTTTACCTAGAGAGAACGACAAGAACGAATTATATGGAACGCTTAAGGGAAAAAGGGCCCAAACATTTTTACATGGGCACGTTTAAGATGTAAAGGGCCCAAATATTTTTATATGTATATGCTTAACCCAAAATATTTTTACATGAGCATGCTTAAGTGGTATAGGAGCCAAATTTTCTGACTTGCGCAGGCGTAAAGAGTAGAGGGATCGAATTTTTTTAATATGCAAGCAGAAGAGGTAAACGGCCAAATATGTGTACATGGACAGGCGTAAGGAGTAGAGAAACCAAATATTTTTAATATGCAAGATAAACTGGTAAATATTTTTACAGAAATTGCTTGAAGTTCAAAAGAAATTTACAAAAAAGGTAATAGTAACTGTATTTGTGCCATAGAAAATAGGATTATGAGATATGCCATTAAACTCGTTTAAAATTTTACATATTTTCCCATATAGCTCTTAAGGCGTTATTTTTAAAAAAATTACCCTGAAGTATTTAAAAAGCTAGGTAATACTATAACAACGAGGCGCAGACGAGATAACACATGTTTCTTTTGTATCAGAAACTATTTCATTTTGCTTGTAAAATTTAAATAAAAAACTATAAAAAGATGACTCTTTTTTTATTTATGTAAATAGTAATAAATAGTAACAAAAACTATTTGCGCCCTTAAAACCTATGTGATGTTCAGAAGTGGCTATACTAATTCAATCCTATACTGTCGATCAACGATTGTACTTTTGTGATGTATAGTTCTTTTGCTTGATCCTTATCCATACCTTTTTTGCCATTATAAGCGTCCCATTTCGCCTTTCCTTTCAAATCCAAAAGTCCTGGTCGAGCTGAAAAAGGACACAATCGTTTAGAAAAAACCTATTTCTTCTAATTTGAAACTATAAACAGTTTAAAAAACAGTATGAGCCATACAACATATAAACGTCGCACCATTTTGTAATGTATAAAAACGGTGGGAGCCATTTTGTTAGTTGTAAAACACGGTGGGCAACATTTTTAATAGTGTTTTCATTGGCAACACGGTAGTTACAGGGCATGATTTATATTCCATTGCGATAACATTGTGTTAGTTTTTCTTTTATCATTGGAAAACTGGTGTGTTAAAATTTTAACACAAACTTAAAACATCGTGTTAGAAGTGCAATTCAAGAAGGCAACACGCGAGAATCCAGAGAATCAAACAAAGTCAGATGTTTCTTTATTATTGTCATCTTTGTCTTTGGACGTTTAGCAACGTTGGAAGCTTTGAAAATGGTAAATCCAGTTTTAAATATAAAAATATTTAACATATGCTTGAAATTGGGGAGAGAGAAATATCGAGAGAAAATTTTCACTTTCTAATGCCTTGTAAAAAGTTGTATTGTTGAAATTGAATTCAGCAAAATTAGTAGAACAATTTTTAACAAAATTTTCTCCTTGGTAGAGAAAATAGACACAATGGGGGAATTCAATTCAATCATGCGCAGTGCGTCTCAAAATTGAAACAAAATCAAAATGTAACCAGTACTCATTAATCAAAATCGGTTTAGCAAAAACGTGTTTTTAAACCAAATTTTAGCCTTTAAAAAAATTATAATTTACATTGTTAGGTATTTTGAAAAAAAATTATGATCAATTTATAAATATATATCATTGGCCCTGTCAAAGCCCTTAGGCAGCCTTTTGTTTAGATCAGCTGGTATGTACAGATAATAAAAGCAACGACCACAGCAACGATGGCGTCGTTTGTTGACAGACAGTAGACGTGGACAGCAGTGGTCAGTTTGTAAAAATTAATGTCAATTAATTGTATGTATATCGTAGAATACTGAATTTTAATTTAAAATTTTGGGTTCACGGTTGTTTTATCTCATAATGAGAGTATCTGTATTTTCCTCGCCTAGCTCATTCAGTTTTTCTACAATGTACCTATCGACTGTTTTTTATTATACAGGATGTTTTAAAAAACATGTGACATCGCACGTGGGACAATTCCTTACCTTACCCAAAAATAAGACAAATGGTTCCTATCAGGATGGGTCCGCAGATGCTCTGTTTCAAAGATAAAGGGTGTTTTCTTTTTTCGGTTTTTCAAATTATTTCCGAAATGGCTTTAAGGATTTGAATGAAACTTTGGTGGAATAATGTACCTAAAAAAGCACATTGATGCACGTTTATTATGTGCGCGCGTACAAACGGGCACTTTAATAATAAAAAAAATATATGTATGCCCACTAACTTTTTCACTTTTTGATAGCGCAATTAATTAGATATTTAAGTGACTAATAAAACCACCTTATAAAATTTTTTAGATTTAGGCTTTGTTTAGAAGAAAATTAAATTAAAAATTGAGCCACCTTGTAGCTTTGAAACAAGGCATCTGCGGACCAATGTTGATCGAAACGATTTGTCTTATGTTTTGATAAGAAATTATCCCACGACACATGTTTTTCTAAACACCCTGTATATTCTATTTAGGTCCTACATACAATATTTCTTTAGTAACAAAATATTTATTATGATGAGTAGTCAATGTAAACGTTATCTACTGCACTAGCTTTATAGCCTGTCAGTTACGTGAACAATAAATTAACAGTCAAATTAACTATTTAACTGCCCTATCAAGGTTATAAATGAAATATTATGAACCCGATAAATCTAAATATATTTTTCATTATCAACACGTTGATTGTGATAAATAAAATCGGATATACGTTATAGGTCACTTTCATTTAACTTTACACAAGAAGTTTAAGACTCGTGTTATCCGAAATAAATGCCAACCAGCTTTATTATATTTCGCCCTGTGGATTGGTTTGACAGAAAAGCCCATACAATGGTAATTTACGGTCAAATCAAATCGCACAACTGCCTATCATAAAAGGCGAATAAAAATAATGTGGGCATCTAGAGACACCTCTAGGTTCACCTGCAAGACTTTCATGAGCTGAGAGCAGTTCCTAGGACGTTCTTAACCTGTCGGATTTTTGAGGCAGCTCCTTATAAGCCCTGTGAAGGAAGCTCAATGGACCTAGTGAGGTATAGGTGATGCGGGGACAACCTAACCTCCCCACCTTGCAGATACAGATTATTATAATATAAAATTGAAATAGGAAACTACATAGCGGTGAGACATTAACGAAAAGTGTCTTTCAATGTTTGTTCGAGTCATTATTTTTAGAAATTATTAACACGGACATGATTTGTTTAAGTACCCTATATTCGTTAACTTACCTGTTTTCACATCACCTTCAGATGCTTGCTTGAATAATGCGTATATTTCTAGAAGGTCTTGATCGGATGGTTTGGTTTTTAGATTTTTGACATCAACGGCAGCTTTGTTAAATTTCTGAAATACGAAAATTAAAACAATTGTCAAAAGAATTATATTTTTGACTTAGATAAAATATAATGTAACCATAAATTATTATTATTCAGATAATTAATTAACTTTTTTAGAGAATTCTGTATATTTATTAAACATATGTGTCGAATTTTTTAAGTTAATTATTAAACTATAGTTCTTCTTGTTTGAAAAAGAGGTCAATAATTTTCAATAATTAAATGTATGTTACGAGAAATAGTACATTATATATACACTTATGGTTGAGAAGTGAGCTATTATTTACTGAGCACTTTTATATCCTGAGGCGCGTAGGAATTTTATGCTACAGGGTGTTGCATTTGAAAAAATTGAGTAAATTGAATTTAAAAAAAAAATACATTTTTATTTGCCAGGTAAAAACGCAACACCCTGTATATCCAAAAATATTTTTAAAATATGTATTTTTCAAATACATTTAAGTTTTAATTGAAACTTGAAATTTTTAGCAGAAATCAAGCTCTATAAGCGGACAAAGTCTGTTGATTTAAAAAAAAAAACCTAATTAAAATGGAAGGTTAAGGGGGGTTGAAAAAAAAAACAAAAATCAAAAACGAAAAGCGAAACCAACTTGTAATGTTTATTAAAATCAAGCTCTATAAGAAGATGAAGCCTATTGATTCTGAAAAAATATGAATTAAAATGGGGGGTTGAGAGGGGTTGAAAGGGGTTGACATATTAAAAAAAGTCATTAGTCAAAAATCAAATTAGAAAACCGATATCAAGGTAATGAAGCCTTTTGATTTTGAAAAAATCTGATTAAACATTTGAGGTTTAGGGGGTTAAAATTAAAAAAAAAAATCATAAATCAAAAATGAAAAGTGATATCAACATAAAATTTTCAGAAAAAATCAAGCTCTACAAGGCAATGAAGCCTATTGATTCTGAAAAAAAAAAAAAAAAAACTGAATAAAAATGTGGGGTTTAGGAGTTTAAATATTAAAAAAATCCTGACTCAAAAACAAAAAATAATATCAACTTGAAATTATTAGCAAAAATCAAGCTCCCTAAGCGGGCAAAGTATATTATTGATTCTAAAAAAAATAAAAATGAGGGTTTAAGGGGGGTTGAAAAATTAAAAAAATCCTAACTCAAGAACGAAAAACAATATCAACTTGAAATGTTTAGCAAAAATTAAGCTCTATAGGGGGACACAGCCTACTGATTTAAAAAAAAATTATGAACAAAATAAAGGGTTAAGGAAGGTTGAAATAAAAAAAAGAAATCAAACACCGAAACCGATATCAACATGAAATCTTCATTAAAAATCAAGCGTTTTAAGGAGATGAAGCCTATTGATTCTGAAAAAAATCTGAATAAAAATAAGGGGTAAAGAGGGGGGATCTGTTAAACTGTGAAGAGTAAAATATAGAATGCCAAGCATTATATTATATCTTCATTCTAGTTTCCTACTTATTATTCAAATATTTCGAAATAGCAAGTAGTCCGGCAGTTGAGTTGTCAAATCAACAAAATGAAACTAATGGAATTCAATTTCATTATTTACCTAGGTGTTTTTTTTATTATCATTATTTACCTGGGTTAAGAAATATTACTTCTAATTAGAGCAGTGGTTCTCAAACTTTTGAAAAGTATTTGATGGATTCCTAAACACATTTCTAAAAAAAAGATTCTCAAGCCAGGACATTCCCTTTTGTGGCGATAGTACTGCTTCTTTTTTTTATTATGACTATTATTTTCTTCGCGGAGCCCCCACAAAGGCTTTGCGGAGCTCCAGGGCTCCGCGGAGCACACTGAGTAACACTTCATTAGAGGAATGGAGTAAATAATGGTGATTTCTCATGTAATAGTAGTAAAAAAAGAGTTTAGAGACCATATTTAAAATTTTTGGGTAAATAACGAATTGATCTGATGAAAACTTTCTTATAAATTTAAAAAATAACAATCCGATTATTTTAAATAGTTTTCTTTATAGGGAAAAGTTCGAAAGAACCGGGAATATTGTAGTGATGGAAAGGACCCGGCACTTTTAACATTGAATTTGGGTACTGTCAGAATTTGTTCAAATTTTAGTATGTTATTTTTCAGGTCTTTAAAGGCAATATTCTTATGTACCCCAAGTTTGCAGCTCTACAGAGTGAGCTGTTAGAAGTAATCAAAAGTAAGGAGTGCACAATTAATATTTTCAAATATATCTCCACCACTATTAAGTAATGCTTGTTTTTGCCATGAAACTTATGTTATGTTACACTTGTATATAGTTTGATTATGCTTACTTACACTTTGCAAAATACAGTTACTGAAATATGTTGCATTTTTAACAGACTTCAAAAAAAGAGGAGGTTCTCAATTCGTCGCAATATTTTTTTTTAATTATGTTCAGCGATAATTCTTAAACACGGTGTCCGATTTCAATGATTCTGTTTTTGTTAGAAAGGGGGTACTTTAGGGGTGGTGGTTCCATATAAATTTGGTCAAAATCTAATAATTGACTCCATGATAAAATCCTCAAACTCTTAATTTTTTATGTATGTTTAGCTATAATGCTTTACCACCTTGTCCGATTTATATGATTCTTTTTTTGTTAGTAAGGGGGTACCTCAGGGGTGGTCCCATATAAATTTGGTTAAGATGTAGTGATGACATCTGCACGTTTTTGAAGTCGGTTTTTTTTAATTTTTAATTTCTAATACTTGTTCATGTATTACTTTAGTTAGAATATGATTTCTGACCATTTTTTGTTTCATTTCCTACTAAATAATTTTTATATGTAATACAGGGTGTGATAGAGCTATATAACCTACCAAGAATTACAAAAACGCATTTAACGAAAAACTTGATATACCTAAAATATTGTAGAAAGTCTTGAAACAAATTCAGTTTTGTTCGTATTATAATCATAGCTCTTTTTAACTAAGGAAATCCAGTTCTACGCCTAATTAAATGTAGAAATAATTCTACTAACTTTGACTTGAATAAATGAGTGAGAAGACGTTTTCTAATTAAAAAGCATTTTCTGATTTTTATATACAGTACAGATGTTAGCTTATCACTTTACTTCTAAATATAATTCTATTTTTGTAGATTTAGAAGGTTTATTTTAATTAAATTAAACCCTCATAAAAAACCTTATATCTACAGTTTTTTCAGTAGTACCTACTTTATTTTATAAGTTTGTTATTAGGAATTTTTTGATAGTAAATATTATTTATGTCTTTCTGTCACAACCTGTATTATTAATAAATATTATCTACTATCTGTAACGTGTGGAGGGTGGGTTACCCCCACGGCACTTAGGCCTCATTAGGCCCATTGCTCATCCTTCTGGGATGATAGGCACCTCCTAGCTCGTGAGCCAGCCCTCTCTTATATCGGCCGGTGATAGCTGAACACAAATCTTCTAATAAATGAGAGCGTCGAGCAATCGTAAAGGATATGCTTGACGGTATCATCTTCTTCTTCGCACCCTCTGCAGAGGGCGGATTCTGACAGTCCAATGATATGGAGATGCTTTCGTACTTGGCAATGACCAGTCAGAATGCCTGTGACTAGGCGCAGATTCTGTCTAGTCATAGTCAAGTATTTATTTGCTGCAGTGTTGTCAGGATAACTTAAGAGCTTCCTGGCAACTCTGCAGTTTCTTGTTTCATCCCAGCTTTCCTTGAATTTCACAAGGGAATGTTCTTTGATTAGGTCTGTCACTACCGATTTTGTCAGGCCAATGGAAGGGCCAGGTCCAAAAAGTATTTGGTTGGCTGCTTTCTTGGCTAGTGAATCAGCAAGACGGTTACCTTTCAATGTGGCGTGACCTTTGATCCATCTTAATGTGACCACATTGTTGATGGATACTTCGGCCAAAGCTTCGTGACATTCTAGTACTAACCCTGAGTAAATTCGTGGTCTGTTCAGGGTGAGTAGTGCTTGTCTGCTATCTGTATATATGAGCATGTTCCTTCCAGTTATATCGTTTCTGGTTATTTCTTTTGCTGCTATGAGAATCCCCGTTAGCTCTGTTTGAACTACACTGGCACTATTGCTCACAGCGCATTCTATGTTTAGGTTTAAGAATCTGGAGTATATCTACATCCTGAGCCTTGTTTTGTTTTAGAACCTTCGGTGTAGATATGAATCGTACCTGCCACTTCCGGCTCTTCTATTTGTTCTATTATAACCTATGGCTTATGGAAGATATATCTCGGTGAGATGGAGTCCATGTTCGCTTGAAGCAGTGGGAGCGTCTCCTGCCAAAAGCGACGTCTCGCCTCACCAGATCCTACATCAGGTTTTATTCCAACCGTGCGGTGGCGTGTCACTGTCGTCACAGCAACCTCCTTGATGTAAATATCAAGGAGTGTGAGAATAAGAATGACTTCCATGGCTCTGGTCGGTGTTGTCTTCATGGCTCTGGTCGGTGTTGTCTTCATGGCTCCTGTTATGTTGAGACATGCTGTTCTTTGAATTTGTTCTAGTTTACGGATAGCTGTTAATTTTTGGGTTTTCGGTACCCAGACAACTGCACCGTATGTTAGCATAGGTCTTATCCCAGCAAACATTTTGGTGTAATTTGACGTCGATACTACCTAAACTATATATAATAAATTTGGTCGCAAAATTAGATTTAACCATAATTAAGTAAAATTTACGTTGGCTCGACGTGGATTCGACATAAGTGGAGAATAAGACGACGTCGAAATTTGGTTTTATTTACCAAAATAGGTAGAATTACATCTAAATCCACATTGTAGTAGCCCAGTACGTTTGGTTAGTAATACGTCTCTAGGGAAATTTGACGTCAGTATAACGTTAATTCGACGTTGATTTAACTAAGTTTAGGTAGAAACTACCAAAATATTTGCAGATGACGTATGCCTCCAAGTGTACGAAAAGAAATTTTATACTTATTTGGTATTTTTATCTATATATAAGTAGAAATATTGTAAGAAGTCACCAACACAACTAAAACATATGCCTAATTCACATGAAAGATTGAAAATAAATAAATGTCGGTGACCAAAATATATGTAATGTAATTGCGGTGAATATACAGTTCACGCTGGTTGAAATTAATGCGAAGAAAATTTTGTCGTGCATGTTAACAGTTCTACTTAGAAAAATAACAATGCCCTTCCAAAATACTCTCTAATTAAAAAAACTATGATCGTGTAAAAAAATAATAATAATATTATGAGCTATGTTACGTTTGTTGTTTATCACTTTAGAAAATCAATAATGTTTCGTTTTTCGGTATTTTCATTCGTATGTTTTAGTTATGGTCATTTTAAAAATTTAAAATTTGGAATCGTACTTCAATTACGTTAAGAAAATATGGCGTATTGTGCGAATTCGACCTAAAAGTTATTATGACTAAGGAAATCTACGTATTTTACAAATACCTTTTTACTAAGTTGAATTAACTTCAATTTCACGACATATTAGTTAACTTTACCTATTTAAAGAAATAATAACTTATAGGTTTTATAAAAAATTTACCTATAAGTAAATATAACATATTTAGGTCACGTTGTTCTGCACTTGAGATTTTAGACGTGTCACTTTACGATAAAAATCGGAAGTATAACGATATGATTTATTATTTTTCGAACTCATTTTATTAATTATTTTTCACACTCATTTAAAGCTCTATCTACACCACACGTAAATTAAGATTACGACTGTAATGGTTTTTTTAAAATGGCCGAAATTCTTAAGAATAATGACGAAGACAGTAACTGAACAACCTAATTGTTAAAATAACCTAAATAATATAAATTTTACAAATAGGTCATGTATGACTCTTTTTAAATTGGTGGTTTTTAGTCGAATTTACTTTGTGGTAGATTTTTCAGGTAATTGCTACAACAAAGTTATTAAATATTTCTTCAAGATGACTTATAGGTCAACTAAATGAGTATTCGACTATTTGGTTGAAATTAGGTAGATAAACAGGTAGAATTTTGCTACGATCTCGACCTAATATTACTTTAAAGGAGAGTAAATAAAAGCGGCCAAATAGGTTACTATGGAGGCATAAAATTACGTAGAATTTTTAACCAAATCTACCTAGTTGGATATTCTACTATAAAGACGATTTTTAGCTGCCAAACAGGTAGATATTACCTAAATATGGCACCTAATTTTACTACAAAGGAAATTTAACTTTGAAGTAATTGTTGGTTATTTTTTTTAGTAGTTTTTCCCTTGCTGATATGGTTAAGGTTACTTTTAAGCAGATTTGTGTAAAAGGTAGATTTCTTCGTATAATTTACGTAAATTTAAATATAAATTAAAACCGTTTGGTATATTTACATTAGAGGTATATTTTTCTAGTCAATTTTACGTAATAATTACCTCAATAAGTAAATTCGTCTTTAACAAAGTCGATTTATAACTAATGTTATAGAAACTGTTTGCTGGGATGATAGCCGTGTAAGTCCATGGGAGAAACCCCAGGTGCGCCCCACGGTTCGGCGGCATTGTTCATAAGCAATGTATGCTCTTTTAACTCTGTTTTCTAAATGCGAGTTCCATGTTAACTTCCTGTCAAAGGTAAGACCTAGGTACTTCGCCTCTGTTGCAAAGTTTAATTTTGTGTTTAGGAGTTCTGGAGGTTACAATTCCATTTTTATCCTTTTTCTTGTGAAAAGGACCATTTCTGTCTTCTTACGATTGATAGACAGTGAATGGTCCTTGCACCACTGTTCGATAATTTTTAGAGCTACTTGCATTCTTTCGCAAAGTATGTTCTCAAAATTCTCTGTTTGAAGAATGACCAAGTCATCTGCATATGCTATTGTATAGTGACTGTCATTATTGAGGCGGCTGATGAGGGTGTCGAGGACCATATCTACTATTTAATGTAACAAATAAGTCATCAGAAATTATGTTGTAGTTATGGCAATACATGAAAATGCAACTTATTTCAGTAATTATTATTATTATTATTATTATTATTATTATATTTTTGAACACTCTGTATTGCTTATTTTACATAGTGAAAATAAGCATTAACAAACTATATATAAGTGTAAAATATGCCATAATTTTCATGGAAAAACATGAATTACTTAAGTGAAGTAGAGATATAAATATAAAAAGTGAGGGATACTTTAGGTCTTATTTGGGCCTTATATAGCGTGAAGAGGTTATGAGATTCAAAAATATATAAAAAAACAGCATAATGTAGGATACCTAGTTTTTTTATCTTTAAATATTGTTAAATACCTACCTAGGTAATACCATTTATCGCGTTATCTATATTAATAATATAACTGTTTTGCTTTAAAACGCTTGTAAAATGAAAAAACTATATTTTTTATGTGATTTATATAAAGTTTATCATACCTCGTCCAAGGACATGTTGACCTGTAACAAAAATACATCGTTTAATCAATATTAATATAAAATATATAAATAAATTTTCAAGGCAGATAAAATGCTTCAAACTTATGGTTGGGTGGACAAATTCATCTGTAGTAAGAAATAACAAAAAATATTTTGTTTTATATCTCCTTCTTATATAAGAAGATTGTTGTTATATCTATAATAAATGAAATTGTTTTTACTAAAGTTAATCTTAAAAAAGTTAGGTAGGTGTGCGGGGCGAGTCTTGACCAATGGGACATAGAGTAAACGCAGGGGTTATTTGTACCAAAATATGAGTATTGCACCAAATATGATTCAATAAAATGTTGTTATTGAAAAATATAGAGGATGAAATATTTCGTCGGTTTTGGTAATAATTTCACAACATAAATCGTTATTAAAATTTGCAGAGAGGCAACACTTTGAACAAGGAATATTACATAGAGGGTGGGCCAACGAAAACTTTACACCCCAATTTTATGGCTTTAAAATTAAAATCGGGAAAAAAGCTCGAACCCGTTGATTTTTGATTCGAGGGGGAACAACTTGTTTGGTTTTTTCATCCATGTAACTTCAACCCTCTAACAGGGGAAAGCACAATCACCTGATTTTGAATAGGGATGAGGGGTGTTGCAATACCTCAATTTCGCTCAAAATTTTTATCGATTACAGCTAAAACAGTGAAAGAGATAATATGGAAAAAATGTCTACTTAACAATCAAAAAGAATATTTACTTCTGTGACTAGTTTATTAAATACTGGAAATGGCCACCATTCACTTCCATGCAGTAAAATAAGTTTTGTTTACGCAACATGTCTGGTGTAATTTGACGACATTCATTAATTATACGATTTAGCAAATCATGCAGTGATTCGGACTGGGTAGCGTAAATCTTAGATTTTAGATGACCTCATAGAAAAAGTCCAGTGGATTCAGATCAGGTGACCTGTTCGCTTCTTCCAATCCAGCTTTGAGGAAAATTCTCATCCAAAAATTGACGACAGGTTGTACGAAATGAGGTGGTGTACCATCTTGTTAAAAAATGATGGTATGATGGTCTTTTTTATTCTCCAATACTTACACGAGGACTGGATAAATAGCGTTCTTTAATAATTCCAGATATACTTCGCCATTGAGATTACCGGGTATAAAAAAGGGACGGATTATGTGATTTCCATGAATACCCGACCAAACATTTAGTATTTCGGAATGCTGAGTATGTACTTCAAGAAATACTCTTGGATTTTCATCTGACCAATACCGACACTTATGCCTATTTACAAATGCCGTTAAGGTAAAATGAACACTTATCCAAAAAACACATATCGAACTTGTAATTTTGATTATTGTTAACATTTTCACTGGCCACTTCACAGAACTAGACTCGACGATTGAAATCATCCTCATTCAGTTCCTGAACCAATCGTATTTTAAAAGGATGAAACTTATGTCGTTTAAGGGTTCTCCTTATTGTCGTGCGTGATACACCAGGGGCTCGATTCTCGAGATCATTGGAAAATTTTCCCATGGGAAAAGATTCCACTACTTATATTCCCATGGTAATAGGTTATACAATTCTCGAACTTGTCGGAATAGACATTCCCATGGAAATAGTAGTTTCACGTATGTCTGATATTAAGTCCACGAATATTTCGAAACAACCAATAACATTAAAGATATTTTCAAATTTACTGTTGGCATTATTTGTATTTGTTGTGGTTTTTGGGTAAGTGATTACCTGCCGAGTCTCCGCGCTGGAGCAGGTGTCGTGCCGAGCAATCCCTAGCATGACCGAGGAACAAGTGAAAATATTCGATTATGTATAATTAAAACTTAGTTTTTCTTTGCACATGTTGAAAAAAGAAAAAGTAGCTTTTGTTTGGAAGAGCAACGAAAATTTCGAGAAACCAAGAAATTCTTTCGTTAACGGAAATAATAAAATTTTCGAAAAGGTCTTAATAAATTTAGTACAAGTTTCTCAATTTGTGTTATTTGCCAGTCCCTTATAGCAGCTCCCACAATTTCTAACTGATTTAAGAAAATCAGTTCATACAGTTTCTTAGTGAAAGAGAAGTAAAAATAATATACCCACATAAATAAAAAATAAAATAAAAAAAAATATTATCAATCTATAAATACCCCAAAAAATGTTTTAACTACAATTTCACCAAAAATCCAAGATATCCAATAATCTTTGGTTATGTCTTAGTCTTTCGCCAAATTTTCGACTTTGATGCGCAAACTCTAGTCCAATTCCCATTGGAAAACACAATTTCCAATACTCGTAAGCAGGGGAATATTTTCCCATACTTCTCATGGGAAAATATTCCACCGCTTATGTCGAGAATACGAAAACTAAATTCCCATGGGAAAATTTTATTTTCCCATGGGAATAAAAGTCGACAATCGACTCCCAGATACGTCGGACAATTTTCTAGTACTAATGGTCGGATTCATGACCTAAAACAGCCACTTCCCTCGCTTCGTCTCTTTCATGCACTTCGACTAGATTCAGTGGCATCAAATTTGGAAACCAGTTTGCAAAACGTAAGCAGCGGAGACATTTTTTTCAGGATGACGTTCGTTAAATAAAGTCGCTGGTACTCGTGCAGAGTCGTTATTTCTAATAAACAATTTAATAATTTGCGCCCTTTCCCCCACGGAATACACCATTTTAATTCTACTAAAAAAATATCAATCGAGTAGACACGGTGGCAACGTTCTTAAAATGTACGATGAACTGAGGTAAATCGAGTCCATAAAACAAAAAATATTTTTTCTTTACAAAAAATATACACATAAATAACTACTTCTCAAATACCAGTCTGATAAGAATAATTATCCTTAAGGTAAACAAAACTTATTTTACTGCATGGAAATAAATGGTGGCTATTTCCAGCATTTAATAAACTAATCACAGTAACTAAGTATTCAATTAGACATTTTTTCTACATTGTTTCTTTCACCGTTTTAGCTGTTATCGATAAACATTTTGACGCGAAGTTTTAGAGTCAAATAGTACTCGATGAGATCTTCAAAATGAGGTATTGAAACACCCCTCACCCCTATTTAAAAACAGGGTGTTGTGCTTCCCCCTGTTAGAGGGTTGAAGTTACATGGATGAAAAAACCAGACAAGTTGTTCCCCCTCGAATTAACAATCGACGGGTTCGAGCTTTTTTCCAGATTTTCGTTTTAAAGCCGGAAAATCGGGGTGTAGTTTTAGTTGGCTCACCCTGTATTTTACTCACAATCGGTTAGTAATCTGTGGATTTTTACCCTTCGCAACAATCGGGAGCGATTTATTGTTTACGTCAGTTTCCCGGCTAGCCGGGAAAGTAATCAAAAAACGAAAAAATATTTAAACTTTTATTTTCCACAGTAGGTAACATTTAATTAAGGTATATTTAGTACAATCCTATTAGTTTGGTTCAAACAACCTGCGTTTATTCTATGTGCCAATAGTTATGATTCAACCTGTAGGATTAAAGAGTAACATTGGATTTTTTTTAATTATAAGTACCCACTTATAGTTTTATAAAAAAAGAAAAAAGTGGGAAAAGTATTATGTCGGACACAACTTTGCTGTTCCGAAGGTTATCAGGTTGTTTTATTTAGATTAGGTACATGATAATTTTATTGTAATAAGGTATTGTTCATAAATGAAAAAAACATTATTTGCTATCTGGCTAGCAATGTAAATATGGTTTCTTATACTAAAATATTAATTTATAAAGTCAAAAATAAAATTTGGATGATTGGTAATTTTGTTTATCATTTATGGATACATATTAGCAGCCAATCAGTTTATTTTTGTATAATTCCTATTCATTATTTAAATAAAATACATCCAAATAAAATGCCATGTCAATTTTTGGAAGTTGGCAAACTTGTTCAATAGTATTTTTTTATGTTCTACGAATGTTTTTTTGTATAAAGAAATCCGAAAATGTACCTAGGTAAGTTTTTTACACCTATAGTTTATTTGAAAATGAATGATAGCAACATTTTTATGAGCTAGGATATAAACCCCAATATAACATCATAAATCAGTGACGGAGAATTTCTAAAATAAAATGTTTAGCATTATTTGTTCCAAAATAAAATCTTTGGTTTTCTTCCTAACCTTTTTAAAAATAACACTTAATTTCAATTCTTGTCATAAATTTTCTAGTCATTTTAATCAACAAAAATAAGGTAAGTATGTAATCTCTATAGGTAGAAAATATTTACAATTCAAGATCAATTTAAGTAGCCCTCAACTTTCTTAGAAATGATTAAAATTTCTAATCAGCAGAAAGTGTTATGCAGATTGTAAATTATTTTAGTTAAGATTTAAATTTCTGTTTGTATAGTTTTGTGATTGTAACACGCAGAATTGTTAGTTCTGTAATAATAGGTGATAAAAAGCGATATTGATCAAGTGAATTTGTGCAATAAAAATGGCACAAACGTCTAATTACACTACTGCGAAATTAAAGTGCAATTTAACCGTGCATATAAAAACTTTAGTGTTAAATGTACATGACGCTCTTGTACATGAACATTTCAATAGTACTGTTCGGAGTATATTTTCTAAGTGTTCAAATATGACCGGAGTTGGAGAAGCAACCATTTATAGACTTTTGAAACAACGAAAGGATGGAAGTATTACAGTAGCACTTAAAACGTTAACTGGGAGAAACCCCATTTAAATAGACGGTACTATGAAACAAATGATACAACTGATCCGAAGAAAAGTGCGGTCGTTTTATTTACAAAAAAAGATACCTACTTTGGATAAACTTTCAGAGTAGACATTATAGGAGACGAAACTTTGTCAAACGTTAAAAGAGACAAATTTTGGGAAACTTTACATGAATTAGACTTCGTTTGGGAGAAGAACGATAGAACATCTGCGCTCATAAAGATGAAATTATTTGTTGGAGGAGGCACTATTTAAGGGAACTTAGAAAATTAAGAAGAGAAGACAAAAATATTTTTTATTTGGATAAATGAAG